TCCGCATAGTGGACCGCTATATACTGTCATGCTGGTTATCGATGTGATGCATTGATCATTTATTAAGTTTAAACCTTATTTAAAAGCATACAGGTTCAATGCTTTTCAGTATCATAAAGCAACACTGCTTAACTTTTGACACAAGTTTTAGCTTAAAATTGAGATATTAAGTGGGTTTTCAGGTCAGTATACAGCGCTCTATATTCAGCGATTCTTTAAAAATACTCATCAATGTATTTGACAGGGTGAGATTGGTCGCTCAAAGAGTCATGTGACCCAGAGCGCCGCTTTACAGTCAAAGCTCCCCTTAAACGCCAGACCTGAAGTTGAGATCTTTCTGTGATAATTGGAAAATGATTTGGTGAAGAAAAAAACACACCCCTTTTCAAACTTTATAACGGATCTTAAATCATTAGAAGGCTGTTTGGAAAAACTAGAAAGGACAAATAACAAAATATTCAATGTTTTACTGTACCATTAGGTGTTTTGTATTTTTTTGTTTTCGTATTTGATTCCTGCATCTATTTATTTAGATTAAGTTTACAACTGTAATAAAAACACCAAAGCTAACCAAGCTAGCAGAAAAACAGATCTGTCTCTTACCTGATCAGATATATCTTCTGTTCTCTAATGTAGGATTTATATAGAGGGGTCAATTTGGTCTTTGAATTCTGAGAAGCTCCATGGCTTCTCATTATGTTGCTCCAAAGTGGTCCGATTCCAACACTGATGGCGACTATTTAGACACTGCAGTGTTTTCTGTGGTGTTTGCGGCTTTAAACCTGGAGGTTACTGGTCAAACACCCCCTAGTGGCTGAAAGTTAGTCTTTTTAAGGTGTTGGCAGAGCTGCATTGAACTAAAACTCGTGTCCAAAGAAGTTGTATTTTGTATCCGGTTGCATCCGGTAATTTGTCAGATTGGCCCTATGCAAGAAATGCTTCATATATCTGCAGCTCTTTCTATTGGTGTCTTGCATTGGTATCTTTTGGTTAAATTTTTGCTGTGTTTTTAAAGTTGGCTGATAATACAGAACATGGTGCAGTTTTTTATATATATTTTTTTATTCCATGAGCCGTTTTGTTTACCAAACCCATGTTTCATTTTGCCAGGTGGTCATCACTCGGCTAAAGCTGGACAAGGATCGCAAGAAGATCCTGGAACGCAAGGCCAAGTCTCGTGCTGTTGGGAAGGACAAGGGCAAATACAAGGAGGAGACCATCGAGAAGATGCAGGAGTGAAAATGATCTTTTGCTATTAATAAACTGTATAAATGGATCCGTTTGTCTGTTTTGTTTTTATTGGGGAAAATTCCTGCATTTAAAATGCAAAGTTAAACATTCCAGATGGAAGTGTCTGAATTTGTGAATGATTAGAAACACTGTTAAACCATTCCTGATAAATAGTAAAAAATTTTGATAAATTGTCTTCTATGGTGACACAATATGGCGTCTTCTGAGTTTAGATATTATCTGGGTGGGAATAGCTTTCTGATGCTTGCAAACCACAAAAAGGAAGAATTCTGAGGATGTTACACTTTCCCACAGGTCTTTGATAGTTTTTTTTAATTATTTTAAAGAGCCACAAACAAATACTAAAGGGTCCTGAATACCTAGGAGGGTTTGAAAACTCACATGCTGAAAGCTGTCAGCATGTTCTTGTTTCCTGTATATAGTCGGCATGGTTAACGCGTAACAGCAGTGGCTTTGGTCACATTAAGTGCTGAGAATGTGTGTTAAAGATAAGAGTGGTTGTCAAAAATGATCAGTCTACCAGATATAATAATCTGCTGCTGATTGATAAAAGTAGAAACGAACATTAATATTCAGTCCCTGATGTGATGCCAGCACCTGAGTTGCTGGTATTTGCTTAAATTAATTTACTCTGTGCAAGTCACATAACGTTGCATCTGGATGTGGTGTAGCTTACAAATGCCAGCTGCACCTCTTTAAGTTAAAGTGAATCTGTTAAAGTGTCAAATGCATTTTTTTAATCTACTAGTTGGCACTGAAAAGCCAATGTTTTGACCTAAAAATATTGCATTTGAGGAAATATTTGGCAGTTTTATTTTATGAAGCGGTCAAATTCTATAGATTCAATCAGGTTTTATTTCACATAATACACATTTAACACATCTTTAGCTCACTTCTATTTTGATTGTGTATCAATAGAAGTGTAATTTATTACATATAGTTTATATCTTAGGCCTTTATTCCAAATTGGGGCTATAAAAGTTGTCACTATGACCAGTGTTGTACTCGAGACCGGTCTTGGACCATTTTTTGATGGTCTCGGACGTGACCGCATTTGGTCTGGTCTCGGGTGCTGAGGACTCGGCATTTTATTTCAAGACCACAACTGTGGAAACAACACTAATCATCAGAATATTATCAGTTTCTTTAAGATCCTTCTTTTTATTGGATGCTTGGATTCAAATCTAAGCAATAACCTCATAATCTCATTGGTAAATGCAGTGAAGGAGATCAATCTATTTTTTTCTGTCTCATAACATATTTCACAACTTGTTGACAGATATAGATTTATTAAGAAAAGTTATAAAATATAGCTTTAATCTGTATATGAGTTTTTTCAGTTTTACACATTTTACAGAATTTTGCACATTGTTTTGAAATAGCACATTTACCGGTAAAAACAACATAAATATATGTACTGTTCATGAACGACAGAGAAAATACAATTTTGATCGACTTTGATTAATTGTTTGAAATTCTGTGATTACTACACAGAAGTACTAAATAAAGATGTTAATGTTTAGTCCAGTTCTGTGTGTTAAATATCTAGGTGTTTTTATGTGAATGTGGGTCTTTTAGATCAGTTTTAGTGATTTTGATCATGTTTCACATTTTATTGTCACGTACTGGCGCTGGTCTTGGTCTTGACTCGGTCTCGGACCCTAAAAGTCTTGGTCTTGTCTTGGTCTCGGGTTAGGTGGTCTTGACCACAACACTGACTATGACATCAGCAGCCTTTATTCAGGAGTTGCACAGAGTTTGCCGTCATCATGGACTATAAATGAATCTGGTCCTTGAATTTCAGGGAATGGATCCTAAGTAGACCTTGAATTTGAATTCAAGGCATGGGAACGCTGTTATTACTTTATCTGGCTGTACTTTAACCGTGCATAATTGAAATAATAATATAATTAACTATCAAAAGAAATTTAAGTTTTACATTTGTAACATATGATAGGCTATATTCCTATTTTTCAAAGTATTTCACTGCATTTTACTTTTAAATGTTAAGATTTCGACTTTCTATTTGATAAATAAAATACAGCAACATAACATTCAGAGTCCATAACTACCTTCTGACTTCACTGATGCATTTAGATTTAGATGTCTGACTGCAAATTCTGCATGAAGACTGGAACATTGGGATAATCTAAATGGTTTAAAACACTGATGAGCACATAAGCATCAGCTTGTAAAATTTATGACCAATAGATGTTATAATAATGATCATTACTGTTATTTAAAAATGTTTCATTAAACAAATTCAACTGTAGTTTAGACAATTGAAGGGTGGAGATCCTACCGCGATATCGACCCTGATAGACGGGAGATTAATTAGCTCTACCCATTGTTTGATTAATGTAATTTATCTTTTACATGTTCTGCTCCACTCTCACTGAAATGTGAAAGAGTGACCCAATTGTACAAAAGTGGTGATTTTTAACATCCATAATTAATAGTTGTAAAAATATTCGGGCGACATTTTTTTTTTCTTACTCAATTATTACAATATATAAACTCTAATATCTCCTTTTCAATCTGGTTTCTAACCAATTTTTTCTGCCATTAGCAAAGCTGCTAATATTTGATGCAAATGTAAAAGCAGATGGTATATTTATCGATTTAACTGAAGCATTTGATTTTGTTGATCATTATTTCATTAAAGACAAACTATATTATTGCTTTATCAGGAAACTTTGGTTCATTTAATATTTTCATCACAGGCCACAGGGTTTTTCAGATTTTAAATTTGCAGATAATGACATGCCTATCATCTTTATGTCCTTTATTGTTTCCTATTTTTATAAATGATCTACCATAAATTTGCTTTAGTTTGCAACAACAAACAGGCTTTAATTGGAAGGCAACTGGACTTTTCTTCAGTGTTTTGGAAACACAAACAGAAGTTTATGTTTATGCGTTATTGCCAAACATTTTGCAACAATTTTTTGGAAACTCTCCACACCACAAAACAAAACAGCAAACAAACTTAATTTCCAAAGTTGGACATTTGGGACCTGCTCCATGTTAAACTGTTGTTTCTTTTGATGTTACCTCTGTCCAGTCCTGCATTACATTCTCTTAACTTTGGAGGAGCAAAGATGCATTAATTGAACATTAAAAACAACAATGTGCTCATCACTCAAAAAATGGGATGTAATTGATTGATTGACTTTATTGATCTCACATTGGATCTCACAGTGGTGGTGGTGGTTTTTGTTTGTTTTTTGCAATTCTTAAACTCAAGCTGAAAATAAATAAATAAATAAAACCCATCAGAAAATATGGAATATGTTTTCCAGATTTTGAATAACAAACTATAATTTTGTTTTTAATCTATACATTTTTTTTAATTTATACATTTCCTCCACGGATCTGATTGCACTTATGGTATAATTATTCATTTTAAAATTCCTTAACAACCTGATAACAACTCAGTATTCTTAGTTGTGTGTGATTGTGTGTTCCATGGACCGTTTCTACTAAAAACATATATGAATATAATGAATTAGATATATCACTCCAGCACATAGACGAGTCAACCGCCGCCAGCCTTACAGGCTGGTGATATTGCTCCAGTACATAGACGGGTCCACCATCACCAGCCTTGGACGCTGACGATATTGCTCCAGCACATAGACTGGTCTACCGCCGCCAGCCTCAGAGGGTGATGATATTGCTCCAGCACATAGACTGGTCCAGCCTCTCCACTTCCTCCCTCTGTCACAGAGTCATGTGATACGTGCTGCCTGTCCGCTGTCTGTCGGTTCAGGACTGAAGTTAGTTAAAGTTGAAGTTTTCTGCTTTGAGACGCTCCTGCTGTTTGAAACAATGGCGGATCAGAGGTTCACCATCTCCATCTGTGTCATGACTTTGTTCTGGGTCATTGTTGGAGGAGTTGTTCCCTGGTTTGTCCGCAAAGGACCGAACAGAGGGTAAGTTTTTGTTAGCTCACATTAGCTTCCAGGTGGTTAAAACCAGCCAGCATATAGCTACATTTATATTTAAGTTTATATATGTGTTTTTTTGCGTTGGGTTGCGTTTTATTTGTAAAATATGTTCGTTTTAAACGCTCTATATGCGCGACTTTTAGCTTTAAATAAGTTTGTGAACTTCCTGTAAAAGTTAAGGTTAGCTAAATGATGCTAATTTCACAGCCCTGTTAAATATTTATGAATTCAGGTGAATTTCAGTAGGTTTTTAAAGTTATTGTTTTAAATTGAGGCATTGCTCTAACCAATGTAAACACACCGTATCCTGGTAGTGTATTTAAAAAGATGGAAACTTTGCTAAAAGTTTAATTCACCAAAATGAAGACATTTTCTTCTTTCTTTTTTTTCCTCCACAGAGTTATAGTCACAATGTTGGTGCTAACTTCAATCTGCTGTTACCTCTTGTGAGTATTTCCATCCAGAATGTGTGAGTCATTGCTAAATATAAAGTGAACACTGGAGGGACAGAAAAAGATGCTTTTGTTTCGTTTTATTTCTTATAATATTGGCCTTAATTTAACATGTGTGCCTTTATCTGCTGCTCTGCTTTGTAAAGTATTTTGATCCTTTATATTTTCAGTATAAAACAACAAAATAAACCACAGTAAATAACTTTTCGTAATTGTGTTAACTTAAAAATCCATCTTGTTTCTTATGGGTTGTCCTGTATTAAGCTCCAGCCATCTCTCATTTCAAAGGGACCATTTTTATTGTTAAAGTTATGCTTATGCTGCCACCACCGTGTTTCAGAATGAGGATAATGTGTTGAGTGGGAGTTTCTGCTACACAGAGCTCTATGATTAGTGCAAATGTTCAGGCTGCAGAAAGGGATTTATTTTTTATTCATTCTGACCCAAGATTTTTCTTTCCACCTTTTCGGGGGAGAAGCCTGTTTGTTTGTTTTTTGGGTTTTTTTCAGCTTTTTTCGCCCATCTTAGCTGTTAATATCTGCAATTTGCTGCTTCTCTGATTAAGTTACTGCAAAGAATCCTGTAGATTTAGGTGGGGACTAAAGTCTTGATGGGTTTAAATGTTCCAATTTGTTTTCTTTCTCAGATAATAGATTGAATAGAGCTTTTTTTTTTAACCTTCACTGCAACATAAACTGTAACTGTGCTGTATTCCCTTGATATTATCCAGTAAAACATTTCATCTGTTCACATTAATACTGGATTTATATATTTCTAGAATTATTTACACACACTTGTAATCTACTGACTTATTAGATAACTTCTAGAAGTCATTTGGTTGCCCTGGAGGTTACTTAGGGGTCTAAAAACCTACTGCTTTGTTTCTATTCAGTACTCACCACTTTATTTTTGTCTATCTCAGTATCCCAACAAAATGTTATCTGACAAAATATGAACTAGTTAAAATAGTGTGATGTACTATAGTTATAGCCACACTTTTAAGCATGTTTCTCTACATGTTGAATTCAATTATTTATTTGTACAAATCATTTTTTTTGTTAAAATTTCCTCCTTAATTTGAATTAATGTATACTAACTCCTATTATATTTAATTGTTTAATATTCGTACATTAAATAAAGAGTGTGGTTTTTAATTATGAATATGCTGTGGTCCAACTGTGTTGCTGAAGTTACACGAGTCACCAGTAGAGGGCGGTAGAGGCTAAGCTGTTTTCCAGCCTCAACAGCAGTAGTCAGTGTAAACAGGGTATTACACTTTTGATTGTCTTTTTGAAATGTGTTTTGCTATAAAGTTAATAAGTTATCTTTTTTATGTGCTTTCCATCAGCTGGTTGATAGCAATACTGGCTCAATTAAACCCACTTTTTGGTCCCACCCTCTCAACCGACGTCATCAGATACCTAAACTATACCTGGGGTTAACTTGTCTTCCAACCATGCAGGTAAATGTGTTCTCATCAACTAAAATTAATTTTTAAAATAAGTTTTGGTGAATATCCTGACTGTTTTTTTTTTTTTTTCTTAAACTGTTTATTGTAGTTTTCCTCTGGCATCGACGGGCTCGACAACTGATGAAGTCCCCTCTGGAGACCATTCCTTAACTCACTTTAAACCCAGAACCCTGTGCAATTAGTTTTGGAGTGCAGGCCACACAAGTGCCTTGTTGAAAGTGATCTTAATAGATGATACTTGATTTTCTGTACTTCAAATTAATGCAGGCTTCACTTGCTGTGGTGTTTATATGTTGTGTACACTGTGTGTAATATAAGTGTGAATGATTTGAACGTTGTAAAAATGAGCTTTGCTCATTTGTTTACTTGCTAATGATGAATGCCTTATATATTTCAGTGGTAATAAACTAATCATTTCCACTAATGTGGCCTTTTTTCTTCATTTTTGTGCAATTAATATTCTACTTATTTTCTCTTTAATTTAATTATTCATAAAAACAAGTTTAATTCCAAGTAATATACGAATTTCATAGTTAAAAAATATATAAATATAGAGCTTTTTATGGTCCCTTTAAGTAGTGTTCGGTATTTATCCGGATGAGAAGGTTCCCTTCCTGTTGCCGTAGTTTTAGCCGGCTACGTCAGCAATATGGCGTCTCCAGATGTCCACGTCCGAGTGTGTGAGCAAGAAATACTCAAATATGATTTGGAAATCAAGGCTCTCATCCAGGTGCGAATGTTTCCCTGGTAAGACCATTCAGGGCTTTTTTAAAATCCTTGCAGTGACTCTGCTGTTAGCTTCCATGCTACATCAGAGCGGCGGCAGGTAGGCTATGATCTGAACAGCAGAGAGGTGCATTCTGGGAAAGATTGGGAGCTATTAAAGTTTGTTAAAGGTTTCCCACTAATTGTGCTTTAATTTTGAGATTGAAAAGAGCAAAAAAAAACGCATTGTAACCCGCTAGTTCATTATCTTTTCATTAAATCAAGCTTCAGTTCGCAGCACGGACACCGCTGAAAGAAACACTGAGATGTATCTAATAAAGGGGAAACATTTAAGTGATCGAGTTCGATTCTTCACGATTTCCTACGTAGAAAGCGAGAAAATTGAGAGTTCTAATATGGCTCCCCTTCAGGGGCGGTTCTAGACCAGGACGACCAGTGGGTTATAATGGGGTCAAATTACAAAGCATTAAAAAAAAAAAAACAAGCAGGGCAATATTTTTTGTTATGTCTACGAAATGGTGAAATATCTACATCATTTAGTTCAATTCAAATTTTATGTTGCTGTTGAAAGTTCATTAAAATCACTATACCTCTGTAATAATATGAAACAAAATATTAATAATTAGTATGGCTGTCAGTTTTAAAGCGTTATTAATGCGTTAACTGCTTTAGACTATAACGCCGACATTTTTTTTAACG